TCCTCCAGGCCTTTACCGCACTATTGTTTGTGTAGCGCTCCCTCCCCTAGATTTATCCCTATTTCATGAATAATCATCAAAGTCATTGCTCCTCAAACTTTTTCACAAAAGTGTAGTTAATAGTAGAGAAGAATGAATAATTGCCTAGAAGATGGTCCCAAGCTATAATTTTCTTTAGTTTCATGTTTTGTCTTAAATATAAATAAATGTTGCATGATATTCCATAATAATCCTATGTGTAGTATAAATATACTGCTTATAAATATCTTTAAAACTCTCTGAGTAAAATTGATAACTGAGAGGATGCCTCATGTTTATTCAGTCACTTTTAACACCCTGGCATACAACAAGTACTCCTTTCCCCAAGCTGAACTTTTACAGGCAAGGTTCTAGACTATTCATGATTGTATATGCTCCTTTTCATTTTTCTCTTATACAATTTAGCCTAAATATGGCAGGGAGTAGATTAATTGATGCTTGCCCACTTTGAACTTGGGAGTGTCACAGGTACTGAAAATTCAATATCATCTCCAACAGACTGCATTGCTTCTGAAGGTCCCTTAACAATATATCACTTTCCTTTCTCCTTCGATTTTGATAAAGGGCCAAGAATAGATCTATTTGTATTATTTATAGTCTTTTTTTTATTATTTAAAATTATTTCCCCCAAACAAACATTTTAATGGCTAGGATAAAAAGTTAACCAACCCTTGGTATATTTCAGACCAAATATGGTATATGATTTACCATTCTGGGTGTCACTTTTGAGAGAAGCCCTATTAACCTGAAGAATAACCAGAAGAAGGGAGCCAAGATAGTAAAGCGTTTAAAATCATAAAGCCATCAAAGAAACAAAAAGGATTTGGGGGGAGTGGGGGTTCAGTTATCTTCTGGTTGAAAATAAGGGTTATCAATATAGGTGGAAATGAATTTGTTCTCAGTAACTACTGGGGCACTCTGACAATGGTGGCAATTACAGAATCATGCTTTTGCTGTTAAGATTCTATGACTCCACATCCTCGCCAGCACTTGTCATTTGTTGATGATAGCCATTCTGACAGGTGTGAGATGGTACCTCATTGTCATTTTGATTTGCATCTCTCGGATGATTAGTGACTTGAGCATGTTTTCATATGTCTCTTGGCCTTCCTTATGTCCTCTTTCGAAAAGTATCTATTTAGGTCTGTTGCCCATTTTTTTTTTGGGTTGTTTATCTTCCTTTTATTAAGTTGTATGAGTTCCCTGTAGATGTTGGAGATTAAACCCTTATCAGTGATAACATTGGCAAATATGTTCTCTGATGCAGTGGGCTTTCTTGTTGTTTTATTGATGGTTTCTTTTGCTGTGCAGAAGCTTTTTTATTTTGATGTAGTCCCATTTGTTTATTTTCTCTTTAGTTTCCATTACCCTAGGTGCTGTATCGGTGAAGATACTGCTTTGGTATATGTCTGAGATTTTGCTGACTGTGGATTCCTCTGAGATTATTATGGTTTCCCGTTTTACATTTAAGCCCTTTATCTATTTTGAGAGTGGAAGGGAGGGGGAGAGACCCGGAGGGTGGGGGTTGGGGGGAGAGATCAACCAAAGGACTTGTATGCATGCATACACTAGTAAGCATACCCAATGGACACAGACACCAAGGGGGTGAGGGTATGAGCTGGGGGAGGGGGGGAAATAGGGGCATAAGGACACATATGTAATACCTTAATCAATAAAGAAAGAAAAAATCAACAATAAGAAATAATAAAATAGAATAATACTAACAACATACTGTAATAAAAGTTATGAAAAAAAAGATCCTATGACTCCAAACCTGAATAGGTTAAATTTTCTTTATTAAACTCTTATGAAAACTACATTATTTTCAAAACATTGTTTTTAATATTTAATCTAAGACCAGTCACACTAATTTTTTAGAAAGTAGATAACTGCAACAAATGTGTTTATCCATTTCCAAGTATCCTTATTGGTAAAAAGAGGGGAAAGTTCAAACTTCTTCAATAAATATTAGCCATTATTAATTGTAAAGGAATTTTAGATCAGTAGCTGGTTGAGTCTTTCTCATATCTTACCACTCACACTGACTCTCACTCTTCTCTCTTCCACATTTAGAAGAACCTTATAATTACAATGGGCGTACTCAGATAATCTGGGATAATCTATTTTTAGGCCATCTGAGTGGAAACCTTAATTCTATTTGCAACCCTGCAATGTAACATAACATATTCATAGAATCTAGGGCATGAACGTCTTTGGGAGGACCATTATTCTGCATATATATATATATATATATATATCACTGTTCATATACAGTTTTTCCTGTTTTTCTTCAGGATCTTACATCAGGCATCATCCTTTTCTGAAATTATGCAAACCTGTGTACATGAATCTAGAGGAAGGATTTATAACTGTCAACAAATTCTCAGTTTCAGAATCACTGGACTAGATCATAGAACACCAGTGTTCCTTGGAAACATAGTTTGGTGGTGTCAACAATTCCAAATTTTAGATTGGCCTTTTAACATGTATATTTTTAACTTACATTAATATGGGTTGATAGTTTTTGCTTAAGTATATTTTTGTCTGTGTTTTTTTTTTTAATATATTTTATTGAGTTTTTACAGAGAGGAAAGGAGAGAGATAGAGAGCTAGAAACATCAATGAGAGAGAAACATCGACCAGCTGCTTCCTGCACACTCCCCACTGGGGATGTGCCCGCAACCAAGGTACATGCCCTTGACCGGAATCAAACCTGGGACCTTTCAGTCTGTAGGCCGACGCTCTATCCACTGAGCCAAACCGGTTTCGGCTTGTCTGTGTTTTTAAAAATATATTATTTATTTATTTATTTCAGAGAGGAAGGGAGAGGAAGAGAAAGAGATAGAAATATCATTGATGAGAATCACTGATAGGCTGCCTCCTGTACACCCCTTACTGGGGATTGAGCCTGAAATCCAGGCATGTACCCTGACCAGGAATCGGACTCTGACCTCCTGGTTCATAGGTCCATGCTCAACCACTGAACCACACCAGCCAGGCATTCTCTGTGTGTTTTTAGATGTAGTTATAATCATGCTAATTATACTTCTTTATATCTTGCACTTCATAACATTTTCCATGTTGATATGCATCATTTTGTGATGATGCTAATAGCAAATACAGTAGATATTCCATAACTTAATTAATAATCTTCCTATTATTAGACATTTCGTTCTCCTACTCCCTTTTTTTAATTATATTTAATGCTTGAATGAGGCTCTTGTATAGATTTTCCCCCATATTTTGGATTTATTTCACCTAGACTAGATTCCTGAAATTAGAGTTTTTGAAAGGAAAAATATGAATATTTTTATAACCCTTTTTTATATATCACTAAATTACTTTCCGAAAGGTCTGTTTTAATTTACATTGCCACTAGCCTTTCTATACTTTACTGATACCATCAATGTGAGGAGGGTTTTGTTTTTTTTCATGTTTCTTGGATTTTCTAATCTGTTCTCCAGTATGCTTGTTAAAGTAAATTTCTAAAATATAAATCTGATCATATTACTCATTGGTTTAAGAATTTCCAAGTGCATCAATATAAAGGTGACATGCAAGGTCCTTCATGGTTTAACCTCTATCCACTTATCAGACTGAACTTTCTCACCTCCTTCAAAGACACCTAGGCAACAAATCACATTAACTACCTGAATTTTCGTGAACCTCCCTGTTTTTTTATACTATAGTGATTCTGCTTCAAATGCTTCTATAGCCTATTTCTACACTCTTTTACACTGGGGTAACTCCAATCCTTTAAGGCTCCACTAAGGTATCCTTCAAGACAGCTCTATCAAGCTGTACTTCAAGACACAGCTCAATTGTAACCTCCTCCTGTAAAGGTTTTCTGAGCCACGTACTACTAACCTGGATTATAAGCTCTTCCTCTATATTTAGCAAATTACAATTTTAAAAAAATTTATGGTTCTTCCATTAGATTTTCGGCTCCTTGCTAACAGATACTACATTCTTTTCATCTTTATTTATCCAATTCTGATATGGTAAATGCTTGGTTAATTCTGTGTGCTAGTACATATCAAACCCATCAAAACATACCTACATTTTGAGAACTGCTATTCCCAGATCTGGGAAAACTTCCAATAAACAATCAAATAAATAAGAAAGTCAATTAGGAAAGCTATATGCATAAAAACGTTCAGTTCAGAATTTTTAACAAAAGCAAAATACTGGAAACAATTTAAATGCCAGAAATAAATGCATGGCAGAATTGGCTGAATGATACGAAATATGTAGCTCAGCCATTTGTAATGAAGGTTGTAAAAATGATATAGTAACTCAGATGCTTATGACATGTTAAGTTGAAAAAAGACAAAATAATTTTGCACTAAAACCCTATACAAATATATGTACAGACATTAACTAACAGGGAAAATGAAAAATGTGAGCTGTTTGTGTGGACTATGGTTTCATTACCTTTATTCAGAACTTCATGAAATTGCTACGACATTTCAATTATAATAAAAATAATTTAAAATTAAACCCATGCCACTAACATATACGGATATATTCGTGTATTCATATATATCCTAGCTCTGCCTCTGAAAGGTCCAAGAAGCAGAGATACCTTAGTATCAACGAGCATACCTAGCCTTGGTCTCTAATACAGTTCTCCACTAAGAGGACTCCTTAGAGAAAAAGCTAATTCCAGGGTGGGGCAGGGTAAGGATAAGATAAATATGGAACATCTTATTATACCACAAAGTTAGGAAGTGTTTTTTTTTAATATATTTTATTGATTTTTTACAGAGAGGAAGGGAGAGAGATAGAGAGTTAGAAACCTCGATGAGAGAGAAACATCGACCAGCTGCCTCCCGCACATCTCCCACTGGGGATGTGCCCGCAACCCAGGCACATGCCCTTGACCGGAATCGAACCCGGAACCCCTCAGTCCGCAGGCTGACGCTCTATCCACTGAGCCAAACCGGTTTCGGCAGGAAGTGTTTTTAAAAAATGATATAGGCATGTCACAAAGACACAGGAGCCAGACCAAAGGTCCTCTCTCTAGCTAAATCTGGGACAATTTGAACAGTGAAATAATTTACAAAATGTACACATATAAATATAGATAGAACACACATACTTAAATGGTAATTTTGATGAAGAGCTGTATATATCTTCAAATGTCTCCCCGGAAATTGCTTATTAATTGCCAGGAAGAAAAAAACAACAACACCTAACTATACAGTGGAAAACTCAAGCCACATATGGATCATGTAATCAAAATTAACATCATCAGTGAGGGACAGATGGATATCATGTGCTTCCAGAAGTGATACCCTGGAGAAGGACACATAACATCTGCATAGTAATCCAGTTGAACTGTATAACCCCAATCTGATCATGAGGAAACATCAGACAAAAACAAAATAAGAAATGTTCTATTAAAAATGGGGATGGGGAGACAAGCTGCATTCTTCAAAGATGTCAAGGTAAAGATTTTTTTTTAAAGGTTATGAAAATGTTCCAAAATAAAGGATGTTAAAGAGTCAGGACAACTAAATGCAGTACCTAGCCCTAGACTGAATCTGTGCTGGAGGGGGAAATGCTATAAAAATCAACCTATGAAATTGGAATATCATGGTAGATTAAAATATTACTTCAATGTAAATTTATGAAGTTTATAAGAAATACACTCTCAAGCATTTAGGAGTGAAGGACCATGATGTATATAACGTAACCTCAAATGTTTCAGAAAAATAAAATTGTATATGAACATACATAATTGTGAAAAGAGAAGCACTGTGCATAAGAGGAAGCAATTTCCTCCCAACTTTTTTTTAAATTTAAAATTATTTCCCAAATAAAAGGGTTTGTTGTTGTTTTTTAATTAAATCCCCCTCAGAGAAATAAGACCAACAAGAAAATAAAAGGTACCCATCTAAATAAGTGTTTTTACAACATTCAATAGTGTATATAAGGTTTCAAGTTACCGTTCAAAATGCTTTCTTCTTTAACAGTCTTCATTCTTTCTTAAAATATGAGCATACCTGCAAATTTCACAATTTTATTTAAATAAGTTAATATGTTGAAGCCAACATACTATCAGTTGTAGCTTACTCATTAGACATAGCAGGAGGGAAAAACAAGCATTGAAAGTTCAAGACTTCTGTTCTCTACCCTACATCCATATTTACTATTTGTTGACTAGTGACTGCATTCCAGTTTCCAAGTAAAACTTCGGATTTTAAATTATGACTTCAGTTCTACTGTTATTACAAGTAAAGAGTATGCAGAGACACAAACTGGATAGGTGAAAGGGGTGGGGGAGATGAATAAAGCTGAAAACTGCCCTAATTGAGTACCTAAATAATCAAGTTCTTTCTTTTCATATCGTACATCAATTTGTGGAGTCTTAAAATTTGGAGAAGGTATTCTTAATAGTTCCTTACCTGTGAATTTTATAGTCTAAACGCCTTTTTTTTTTCTTTTTTTTTTCCTTTGAAATTCATCATACTGAGTTGCACCCCCTTGTGGTCAAATAAAACGTTTCATTTTTTTCAATTGGGCTTTTTATTCAGGCACAGGAATCATGTTACTTGATTTTGTTTTCTCCCGTTTTAGTGAATCAAGAGCTTTAATTAAAGATTTTGGGTTTATTAAAAAAGATTTTAAACAAAATATCTTAGGTCTAAAAGTAACTTCCATATAAACTTTAGTCTGTGCAAAATGGAGATAATAATTGCACCCACCTTTTGCGTTAGTATGAGGATTCAAGTGAAAATTGCATATATATTTAGTACAGTACCTGACAGAGTAGGCACTCAATGGTATTATCAATTTTATATTATCATTCTCTTGTCAGACTATACTAAAAGGGAGCTAGATCAAAATTTACCAATTCATGAAGTTCAATATAGTCTTGAAAATAAGTTCCCCAAATATATCACTTATCTAGACTTCCCTAGCTGATTCTCCCCAAAGGTACATTATATTTTTAAAATACAAAGAATATGTAATTATTTCTGGATGACAGAAGTTTGGGTGGCTTTTACTCTATATATTTTAGTCTGGCCTGGTTTCTTTTTTAACTTTAATATTTAGAAAGAGCAATAAAACCATTCCATTTCCAGGTTACTCTTATGAAATGGTAAAACAAATTACCTTTCTGACAGAAATCATTACTCATATTCGGCAAAAATCATAGGTCAGGCTAATCTGTCATTTTAAGGGACTCTTGAACACAAATGCTAATTCCTAATGGCACTAACTACAGTTTGACTTTTAAAACACCTCTTAAAGAAGCCATTTTGAAATACCAATGTTAAAGACTACTAGCTAACATTTACTAAAATGCCATGCACTGTTCAATGCCTTAAATATATTAGCTCATTTACATCGTTACAACAATCCAACGAGGCACTAGCATTACTGCTTTAACAGAAAATCCAAGTCAGAAAAAGTAACTCCCGTAGGGTCACAGCTAGCAAGTAGCAGGGCTGGGATTCAAACCCAGGCAATTTGACTCCAGAGTCCACTTACCCAGTGCCCAAAAGTACCATACACATATAAGATACACATACTACTTAGCCATGTTACTTTTAGATTTTAAATTACTAAAATCCATTTCTTTTTCAATGTACCTTGATAATGCAAATGTGCCAGCCTTCTTCCATTTTCTCACTTCTTAATACTTCCTGCACTTATATATTCATTGTTTTAACCTTCATATGTCTTCATATACTTAAACACAAGTTGTTTTGCAACAAAAACTGGAAGGAAAACAACAACACAGCAATACCCCAGATTTAAACTGTTGGATTCTTTAGAAACTTCATTATAATTTGGAATCAGGAAAAAGGTAACCAATCAAAAATAATCTTAAAATCTATTAATTTCAGATCAATCACAGTTAAAAAAATTTTTTTCATCTTAACTAGCCTGTGGGCATAGGATAACTCTATCAAGCAAATGAACTAATGAAAGAAATTTTTAAGGAAAGTGTTAAAATACTGACAAGTTTATCATCATTTTACTTGCATCATAGCACCTTGTTTTTAAGGTGTACACAGATTTGCCTAGGTCTTGTGCTTCCACTTACTAGTTGTAACACTTTGAGGCAAGTTTCTTGATCTGAGTCTTGGGTTTCATGTGTAAAATGAGGATATTACCTACTTCTTATGGCTGTTGTGAGATATAAACAGGATCTATCCATAAATAGTTTAGCACCGTGCCTATCACAGGCAATACGTGGTAACTAGGTATTATTTCTTTATCAGTGTGTCACACAATGGAAACCCATCTTTACTAGATTCAGTTCACTTAACAGGCCTTTTTTTTTAAAATTACTCTACGTGACACCCATAGACTGCTCATTCAACCTCTCTCATACTGAGAGAATGCCTAAGGACAAGTACGATGGTGAGGTAAACTGGATTCGATGAAAGCGTCTTTGCAACAGGACCGGGAAGACTAGGCAAGTAAACTACACACACACACACACACACACACACACACACACACACACACACACACCGGGAACACACACACACACACACACACACACACACACACACACGGTTGTGGAGCAGGGGAAACCACGCCTCCTGTGTGTGCTCCCATTGGATTGCACAGCAAGGAGAATGCCTCGGACTCCAGAATCTGACAGATGCGGACTCATCCGCATGCTTGCTACCTGACAAATTACTTAAAGTCTCTCAGCCCTGGTTTCCTGGTCTGCAAACAAAATAATAGCACCTACCTTATAAAGTTGTTCTGAAGCTTATGTGCAATAACTCCTGCAGCGCGTTGTCATACAGCAAGAGCTCTGCACACAGGCGGGGTTGTTTTAAGTACGCGTGTGTCCATCCAATATAGATAGTCTCGGAGACACATTCCGTTGTTGGTTTAGTTAGACACTGGCAATAAGACATTTTTCTTTTCGCTTAAGCTGCACCCTTATCTGTTTTCCTCGAACAGTAGACTAAATGCTTATAGACTGATATATCGTCTATGTATGGTCCTTCAGGCCCACAGTCCCACCGTCTCTCTACCTCCGAGGCTGAGTAAACGGGGACTTGCACGCACGCGCAAGGAAGAAGAGGTAGGAGGGTTGCCACCGAGGAAGTCCTGGGAGAGCCGGGAACAGCTATAATTCTGCGCATGTGCAAAGAGAAAGAGAGAGGGCTGGGGAGTTGTGGGGAGGGGTTTGCGCGTGCGCAAACTTGTTGGGAAAGACAGAAGGGGGGTTGGAGGAGGTATTGACAGCTGTGGAGGCAGCCCGCGTTCCCGGCATGCCCCGGGGCGGCGGGGTTGGCTCTAACGAATTTGAATGAGGAGCCTTAGCACTTTTGGTGCCATTTTCGAGTGATGCCTGAGCCCATCAATCTAGCGGGAGAGATGGGATAACCTGTCCGACAGTAGATCGCCGATAGGACTCCACCGAAAAAATCACTTGAAAAATCTCCAAAAATCACTTCAAGCCGAGGGCAGTCCGCGGAGCTTGGCCAGGGTTGGCGCAGTCGGTAAGAGACTGAAGTAGCCGAGCGGGACTCGGGAGGTGGCAGTGGTGGGACTGGCAGGCGGAGGGGGTGCAGGGAGTGGGCACTGGGTCCGTCTTCATTTTAATCAGGAAAAAAGCGAGGAGGTCGGGTTGGCGGTAGCGGGGTGTCTGCGAGTGGGCGGTGGCGGGCAGAAT